AGTTTTATTGTCAATCATTTATTACAGAATGAATTCTGTGAACATAGTGCTACATGCTAGTTCAAAATTCAAGAAATTGGCCCAGCCATTTTCGGTTAAAGACTGATTAAGATGGGCTTGCTTTCACCTTAATGATTCTTTTTCTGCATTCAGATTTAGCAGACATCTTTGGGGGCTTAACTTTGTGTCAGACCCTGAACTGGTATTTCCAATACATGACCCACATGACCCTGAGAGGTGTTGATATCAAGATTTTATAGGTGAGGCATGGATGCTTAGAGAGGATAAGTAAAATGCTAAAGATTTTTCTCCAGAACCAGTTCAGTTCAATCATAATAACATAGCAGCCATCTAAAAACATGTTTGAACTTAGAATGTACGTAGTCTAGCATGAGTATCTACAATTAGGCTATAATCCTATCTACTTCCAGTTTCCTATTTCAGTTGAGAGTCTGTTTAGACAATAAAATTAACAAAGATTGAGGTCTAACTTCTAAATTTTAATAGTTTTACCGGGATATAGTTCATATACCATACAATTCACCCATTTGAGGTGTACAATTCAGTGTCTTATAGTATATTCACAGGTTGTCAGGTTCAGGGTTGTTCTGAACCAATTGGTTATTGGTTTATTCCATTATTATTGGCCGTAAGATAAGAAACAGAATCACATATCATAAACTAATATAGCTCCATTCTTTTATTTCCTGATTCATCTTTGTCCAGCCAAAGTCCAATAACATTCCCCTTTCAGTTCTAGTACAAAAAGCTTCCTCAACTTCCATGAGAAATGTTTGCTTACAGGAATATTAAGCTGATTTTCATATGTGCCGTGGAGAAGTCTTGGAATGTGAAATCCACTTCCTTATAATGTAATTCTTTAAGTTCTTTGCAACAGACATATAAAGGAGAGCCCAGAGCGTGTACGCAATTAGTACTTATTAATGTGCCTTCCTCAGGTTAAAAAAAAAAAATCCCCTAATAACCATTTATAGCCATTCTGAGTGCTGACTCACTAAAGAGATCAAGCCTCAAGATAACTAGGTACGATCTCCTCTCTCATTGACTTGACTTTTAGATTAGAAAGTCACCTGAGGATCATAATAGACTTAACACACTATATTATATGAATATGTATTTATTGTCCTTTGTACACACACACATACACAATGTATGAAAAGCAACTTTTATTTTCAAAGTGCCACTGCATCTCTAATTCAGTTCGTGGTTGAAGCACTCCCATTCTGCACCCAGTTTTTGATAGGTGAAGTAGGAGAACGGACACATTAGTTGAAGTCCTATGTTCGAGATAAGAGCTAGTCGGTGGCTGACATTGCAGGAAAGTACTGGTTTCCTGCCTTATGGCCCAGGCACTTCCTTATAACTGCATTTAAACCATCTATGCCTTGGTTTCCATCTCTTGGCTTACCCATTAAATGTGATACCTATTGAGGGGCATACTAGACTAATAATAGAATGACATAAGAGTTATTTGTAGTTTCTATAACATAATTTCTCCCATGTGTCTATGTCATTGACTTGCTACTTCTTCTGCCAAAATTATATTCCCACCACCCCATGGCAGTCCCCATCCTTCCAGTCTCATCTGAAAAACCAGATCTTTGTGAAATCCTCCCACTAACGAAATGCAAATGTGAGTTTTCCCTGTCCTGTGCCTCTCCTATACCTTGCATTAACCAGGTCAGCAATTTTCTTACCATGTCATAATAGCACACTTATTGCTTGTCATCCCCCATTAGACTGGGAGCTCCTTGACGGGCCATTTCTATCTTCTCCATGGTGCCTGACTTGCGGTTTTCTTGAATTGTGAGTCAGTGTCAAAAGGTTGTTTTAGGGAAGGTGATGATTACATAATTTCACTCCTCTGTCTCTTCAAAGCCAAGGACAACAGTGAGAAGGTCTTTCCTTCAACGGCCAAGCCTTAGCCAACAGCTCAGTCATTGGATGACAGCGTGATAGAGAAAGAGGTCTGAAGATGAAAGATTCTGTTAGCTCTGTCACTTAATTGGCTCGGGAAGGTCATTTAAGATTTTTCTGCCTCAGGTTTCCTCATATCCTTGGGCAATAGTAATGCCTAGTTCACTGGGTTATTGTGAGAATCAATTGAGATATTTTATGGCAAAGTAGCTTGCAAACTGTAAAGCACTCCAAACATGAGAAGTAAAGAAAAGAGATGATAGAATTTGGTAGAAAGAACAGGTGGTTTGGCCTTAAATGAGGTTTTATATCCAGACTCCACCACTAATTATTTGACTTCCACAACTTAACTCCTATGAGCCTATTTCTTTACTTGTCAAGGGGAGGTAATAACACTTTGGCAACTTAGAGGAATGTTGTGAAGGTTAGATGGAATTCAGGCAGTGTTCCACTTGTGTTCTGTCTGTATACGTTCAACTGTTACCAGCCAGAGCTTTTGTACATTGTACATTCCTACCCCTGCACCCTCTTTTCTGTGGCAGATTGTACCCCAGGGAGAGCAGGCCCTTTCTCTCAAGCAAGGGGAGGCTGCCGGAGAAGGTTACGGGTTCACCTGGCCTTTGACCCCAGCCAGCCTGGGTGTGCCTTGGGACAGGGGTGAGGCAAAGCCTCAGTCTCGTGTCCCAGCACATTCCTAGGGCAGCTGTTTCTGCTACAGCTTCTTTTACCATTTCTTTTTGAAACTCCATATTGAAGTTGAAGCATGCATACGAAAAAGGCACATAGCCTCAAGTGTACAGATCACGTTTTATGAACCGAATATGCCCTTGTAACCAGACCATTCATTCTTGTTGCTGTCTGATGTTCCACTTTGTAAATATACCACATTTCATTTTTCCGTTCTAGCGCTAATGGGCATTTGGATAGCTTCCATTTTAGGGCTGTTGCAAAGAGTGCTGCTGGGAATGTTCTTGTTCGTGTCTTTTGATGAGTATGTGTATTTCCCATCGGTATATAGTTAGCAGTGGGATTGCTGGGCAATAGAGTTTGCATATATTCAGTTTTGGTAGATATTAAAGCAAAAACTTGCCAACACAGTTATATGAATTCACGCTCCCAGCAGCAGTGTTTAAGTGTTCTAATTGCTCCACATCCTCACATCCTTGGTATTACCTGTCTTTTTGATTTTAGGAGTTCTGGTGGATATTATAAGATTGTGTAGCATTTTAGAAATAGAACCCTTCCCTCAGCCCCCAAACCTCAACTTTAATACATTCATTTTCAGGAATGTGCTGTGTACAAAAGCAGGGGATTGTATCAGATGCAAAGCTCCTGATGCGGTGCTTGGTATATGGAGGGAAGATGACACATGATAGCTGCTGTCATCATCACCATCATTACTCAATGCCTTCTCTGTTCCTAAGGGGAGAGAATAGGGCACGGTAGATACAAAGGTGAATAAGACATAGTCTCTGCCCAGGAGGAGCTCAAGAGCTAGTTGAAGAGACTAACACTGGAAATAGATTATTTTTAGACAGTATGATAGGAGCTTGAGAAAGAGGTAGTGCTTGAGCTGGGACTTGAAGAATACATCAGAGTTCAACAGAAAGGAAAAAAAAGGAAATGGGATGGAGGAAACGGCAGGGCCCCAAAACGCTTGTTGGGGAGTGGCAGCGTGGACTGCGTGCTGGAAGAGAAAAGCCGTCTGAGGCTGGAGTCGTTGCGTGCTGGTGTTGGTTGTTCAGGTGTTATCGCCCTTGAAGGATGTGCTGGGCCGAGCTGGTGACCATTCAGGGTCAATGTGACATTATGGTACTCTACTGCTGTGTTCTCTGCCCCCCACCTTTTTTACCTTTTCTTCCTCCTCGAGGAAAGTAATCAGCCTCCTCTTCTCTCTCCTGGGATCAAAACCTGTCCCAGGGCTTCCCTGGTGGCGCAGTGGTTGAGAGTCCGCCTGCCGATGCAGGGGACACGGGTTCGTGCCCCGGTCCGGGAAGATCCCACGTGCCGTGGGGCGGCTGGACCCGTGAGCCATGGACGCTGAGCCTGTGCGTCCGGAGCCTGTGCTCCGCAACGGGAGAGACCACAACAGTGAGAGGCCCGCGTACCGCAAAAAAAAACCCTGTCCCAAGTACAATGTGCTTGAAAACTACCGTTGACACTATGACAGCTGCAAAATGTCCCTGGTTACAAGAATCCCACAGTTTCTTTGCTGTGTGGTCCTTTAACTTTTTATGTTGAGGACTGGCTTAGAGTTTTTTTTTTTTTTTTTTTTTTACGTGGGCCTCTCACTGTTGTGGCCTCTCCCGTTGCGGAGCACAGGCTCCGGATGCACAGGCTCAGCGGCCATGGCTCACGGGCCCAGCCGCTCCGCGGCACGTGGGATCCTCCCGGACCGGGGCACGAACCCGTGTCCCCTGCATCGGCAGGCGGACTCTCAACCACTGCGCCACCAGGGAAGCCCCCGAGTTTTTATTCTTACTTGGGTCCAGGTTGCTTGTAATGGCAATTAAGTTTAATAAAATGCTCTTCTGCCTAATACAATATATAGACCGTGAATAAATGTTCTTGAGGAATTTTGATGTTGATGATGGTGATAAAGGTGATGATCAAGAACCTGTACAGTGTTTCATTGGTTGAGCATCAGCTGTGTTTCAGGCATTGACTGTATAGCAGTAAGGAAAACGGACAAGATCCCTGTCCCCATGGAACTTATAATCTTATGGGGGATCAGACAAGTGAACAGTTGGTTCTGCCAGTGTGATGAGGGCTGTGATGGATAGAGGTACAGAGTCCTGTGGGAGCACATCAGAGAAACACCCCACCCAGACTAGGGATCAGGGAGGGCTTCCTGGGAAAGGCAACAGAAACCTGATAGCCTCATGAAGGAATGAGGAGGAAGTATTCCAGGTAGAGTAAACGATGCATAGGAGGAGCACGATGCAAGGGAGAATGGTTGGTTGGAGAAACTGGAAGAAGAAACTAGAAAAAGAAAGCATTTTGTCATTTAATGTTTTCACTTGCATCTGTGTCATAATGTCTTTTGTTCGCCTGTTTTCTAGGAATGTTTACCCTTGCGGAAGTTGCTTCACTTAATGACATTCAACCAACTTACCGAATCCTGAAACCATGGTGGGACGTGTTTATGGATTACCTGGCTGTCGTTATGTTGATGGTAGCCATCTTTGCAGGAACCATGCAACTTACCAAAGATCAGGTGGTCTGCTTGCCAGTATTGCCATCTCCTGTAAATTCAAAGGCACACACACCACCAGGAAGTGCCGACGTTACCACCAACATCCCGAAGATGGAGTCAGCCACAGACCAAGACCAAGATGGGCGGATGACAAATGAGATTTCCTTTGGCGCATCTGCTGTGACACCTGACATACCTCTCAGAGCCACATATCCTCACACAGATTCCACGGTTCCAAATCAGGAGGCAAAGAAAGACCCAGCAGGCCGAAAAACAAACTTGGATTTTCAGCAATATGTATTTATTAATCAGATGTGTTACCACCTGGCCCTTCCGTGGTATTCTAAGTACTTTCCGTACCTTGCTCTTATACATACTATTATTCTCATGGTCAGTAGCAACTTTTGGTTCAAATATCCCAAAACATGCTCAAAAGTAGAACATTTCGTTTCAATATTAGGAAAGTGCTTTGAATCTCCTTGGACTACTAAAGCGTTGTCTGAGACAGCATGCGAAGACTCGGAGGAAAACAAGCAGAGAATAACAGGTGCCCAGACTCTACCAAAGCACGTATCTACCAGCAGTGATGAAGGGAGCCCCAGCGCCAGCACCCCAATGATCAGCAAAACTGGCTTCAAATTTTCAGCTGAAAAGCCCGTGATTGAAGTCCCCAGCATGACCATCCTGGACAAAAAGGACGGGGAACAGGCCAAAGCCCTGTTTGAGAAAGTGAGGAAGTTCCGTGCTCACGTGGAAGACAGTGACTTGATCTATAAACTCTACGTGGTCCAAACAGTTATCAAAACAGCCAAGTTCATCTTTATCCTCTGCTACACTGCAAACTTCGTCAATGCGATCAGCTTTGAACACGTCTGCAAGCCCAAAGTCGAGCACCTGACGGGTTACGAGGTGTTTGAGTGCACCCACAACATGGCGTACATGCTGAAAAAACTGCTCATCAGTTACATATCCATTATTTGCGTTTATGGTTTTATCTGCCTCTACACTCTCTTCTGGTTATTCAGGATACCTTTGAAGGAATATTCTTTTGAAAAAGTCAGAGAAGAGAGCAGTTTCAGTGACATTCCAGATGTCAAAAATGATTTTGCGTTCCTTCTACACATGGTAGACCAGTATGACCAGCTGTATTCCAAGCGTTTCGGGGTGTTCTTGTCAGAAGTCAGTGAAAATAAACTGAGGGAAATCAGTTTGAACCACGAGTGGACATTTGAAAAACTGAGGCAGCACGTGTCACGCAACGCCCAGGACAAGCAGGAGCTCCATCTGTTTATGCTGTCAGGTGTGCCCGATGCTGTCTTCGACCTCACAGACCTGGATGTGCTAAAACTCGAGCTGATTCCAGAAGCTAAAATTCCTGCTAAGATTTCTCAGATGACTAACCTCCAAGAGCTTCACCTCTGCCACTGCCCTGCAAAAGTGGAACAGACTGCTTTTAGCTTTCTCCGTGATCACTTGAGATGCCTTCACGTGAAGTTCACCGACGTGGCAGAAATTCCCGCCTGGGTGTATCTGCTCAAAAACCTTCGTGAGCTGTACTTGATAGGCAACTTGAACTCTGAAAACAATAAGATGATAGGACTTGAATCCCTCCGAGAGTTGCGGCACCTTAAGATTCTCCACGTGAAGAGCAATCTGACCAAAGTCCCCTCCAACATTACAGATGTGGCTCCGCATCTCACCAGGTTAGTCGTTCACAATGACGGCACTAAACTGCTGGTACTGAACAGCCTTAAGAAGATGATGAATGTCGCCGAGCTCGAGCTCCAGAACTGTGAGCTAGAGAGAATTCCACACGCTATTTTCAGCCTCTCTAACTTGCAGGAACTAGATTTAAAGTCAAATAACATACGCACAATTGAAGAAATCATCAGTTTCCAGCATTTAAAACGACTGACTTGTTTAAAACTGTGGCATAATAAAATCGTTACCATTCCACCCTCCATCACCCACGTCAAAAACTTGGAGTCACTTTATTTCTCTAACAACAAGCTCGAATCCCTACCTGTGGCAGTGTTTAGTTTACAGAAACTCAGATGCTTAGATGTAAGCTACAACAACATTTCCATGATCCCAATAGAAATAGGATTACTTCAGAACCTGCAGCATTTGCATATCACGGGGAACAAGGTGGACGTTCTGCCAAAACAGTTGTTTAAATGCATTAAGTTGAGGACTTTGAATCTGGGGCAGAACTGCATCACTTCCCTCCCAGAGAAGATCGGTCAGCTCTCCCAGCTCACCCAGCTGGAGCTGAAAGGGAACTGCTTGGACCGCCTGCCAGCCCAGCTGGGCCAGTGCCGCCTGCTCAAGAAAAGCGGGCTTGTTGTGGAAGATCACCTTTTTGACACCCTGCCACTCGAAGTCAAAGAAGCATTGAATCAAGACATAAATATCCCCTTTGCAAATGGGATTTAAACTGAGATCAGATGTGCACATCCGTGTGCCGGAGGAACAACTTCCTAGATGGCAAGTGCTCATGTACCAGTTATTGCAAGATAATGCATTTTAGGAGTAGATACACCTTTAAAAATACAACAGAGAGGATGCATAGAAGGCTGATAGAAGACATAACTGAATGTTCAACGTTTGTAGTGTGTTAAGTCATTCACTTCCAAATCTTTTTCTTTTTTCTTTTGGGGAAAGGGAAGGAAAAATTATAATCACTAATCTTGGTTTCTTTTTAAATTGTTTGTAACTTGGATGCTGCCGCTACTGAATGTTTACAAATTGCTTGCCTGCTAAAGTAAATGATTAAATTGACATTTTCTTACTATACCACCTTTTTTTGAGGTGTCTTGATTTACTTTGCTTAATTGGTGCAATAGTCCTTTAGCTCAGACCTCTGAAGGCGTATCAGGTCCGAGCTTGTAAATTTAGATTCGCTGAAATACTGATTTCTTTTTTGTTTTAATTTCAAGCACCTCAAATAAGCACTTCTTATAATATTTAACTGGTGCTACCGCTTCTGAGAATCCCATTTTATAGATTTTACACTCTGAAAGGCCTGGAATGCAGTAAAAGTGTGTAGGTCGTCGAGGGAGTTTTGTTTGTTTGTTTGTTTTCTAAGAATAAATAACAAGAAAAAATAAAAGAATGCTCTCCTTACTCATAGCTGTTTTTCCATAGTCTGGAGTTCTGGTTATATGATACATTTTTCTATCACTACTATAGAGCTGCCAATAAATAGAAGATGTTATTTTTAAATAAATTTAATTACAGGCAAAATAAAAATTTAATGGCTTGATGACTAACATCCTTCCAGTATATCACCATTTGGAAGATAACACAAATTCAGAGCAAGTATCATTAAATTACTTGCCCTTTCCACTGTTGTGGGGGAAAAAATAGGATTTGTAGTTCATTGAGTTGGAAAACTGACTATATCTCTATTCGTTTTAGTGACAGGCTGTACTTCCTGTGTTTGTCTGCAGCTAGGAGGGGTCATGTCCGGGGAAATGCTGGCAGAATATACTTTTTGGATGATAGTTTTTCCTTCTTTATCTAACTTACAAAGTGGCTAAACCCATCTCAGAAAATCAAAATATTCCATGCCACCTGTGTGGGTATTGGTTGACAGGTATTTCATAGGCCATTCTACAGGAGTGTTGTTTCAAGAGAAGAGAACTGTCTGGCACTCTAGGTAACAAAGTAGTGTCCTGTCCATATAAGACTGGACTCATTTAGTGAAACAGTGGATAGTCTCTTGTCACACCTTAGCGTGGCTTGAAGGATTTTGCAGAGAATGTGAAAAGATGGACTCAACATTCTTGCTTTTCCTCCCCAAAATTGATCTCGGGCTACTGGCCTGTTGGAAGCGGTGGTGATCTTTGCTTGCCATAGAGCTTCTAAATACCTCGAGAAGTAGTATCGCTAATAGGAAAGGCTGCAGCCACTGTGGCTGAGTTAGCAGCTGACCCCAGCCCCAGCATCCTGGCTACTCCCTCTCCTCCTAAAAGACTTGAGGTAGAAGACTAGCTTATAAAAGCCCAAGTTTAGAAAATCGGAGGACAGAGGCGGATTTTTGGTGTAAGCGCATTCTCTCCCAGGTACACGTCTTCCATTTCTCTCAGCATTCACTGATTTATTCGCTGGTATTGATTATGTACCTACTTTGTGCCTTGCAAGTTCAAGGAACTGGGGATTAACTGTTGGAATAAGTCACAGCCCCTGGCTACATGGAGGTTTATAACAAAGCGTGGGAGATCATATCAATTAGGCAAATAATACAAATGATTGATTACAGTTGTAATACAGAAGGTGTACAGAATCTGTGCATGAATAACGGCTGGGAGGGGGCACATTTGGTTAAAGAGGAGCTTCAGTGAAGCTTTGCACTTAGAAACTCTGCCTGTAAACACTCCTGGACATTTCCTTACCACCAGCCACATAGGGCACTGTTCTCCCTGCGTAGTAATGCCACCAGCGGAAATTGGTACAGTGTCTTTAGAAGGATGCCACACTGTCTTGCTTGTAAGATAAACAGGCCAGACCTTACGATCCTTGCTTTATGGACTGGGAAACTTGCCTTCCTCTCTTAAGACAAGTGCCTGTTGTTTTTGAAGGGCACAAGTGGCAGCCTACCCACAACTCACCTTGCTTGTCAGAGGAGAGGCCTGTAGGAGCCGGTCTGACCTTCCCACAGCCTGACCACTGGCACCTGCCGTTAGGCACCTGTTTCCTTATCAGTACCTGGGGTCCAGTCACTTAGAGCTAGCTGATTGGTATTAACATGCCTTCAGACAATATCAAGCGGTATCTTTGCTCTTACCCAAACTTCTATTGATTTTATTAGCCCTTAATGATTTCCTTAAACTCTGAAGAGTTCACGGTCAGTTGATTTAAATGCCGCATTCCTCGCCACTGTTTGCAAATAGCCATATTTTAGAAGAGGCTTCCTAAGAAATGCTGGTTCATCTAGCAGACTTTAAATATACTGGGTCTTGGAGTCTCAATAAAACAGCAGAGGAGATTATGGGCCCAAATATACCGTCAACCCATATGTCTTCACAAATTTATGTTGGCACCGCACGCTCTAGACATGGGGGAAACACAAGTTAAAATGTACAAGTTTGGCTTACTAGTATTTTCATATCTTTTTCTAAAGTCCCTGGAGCACCATTTGAAGAAAATTATTTTAAAGTATCTTTAAATGTTTCTTGTCTATGTGAATTCCACAGAGTCTTAGAGAATCTGGCTTGTTTTCAGCTGTTTGACTTTTTTTCCACCAACATTCAGTTGGCTCTGCAGAGAGGATTGGCTTTTTCAGAGGTTCAGAAAGATGAGCTGAGATTGTTACTGGGACCCTATTTTAGTAGTGGAGATTTAGCAATTTAGTAGTGGGTAGAAAGAGATCATTCTCCGTAAGTCCTGGACAACAGTCCTCCTGATCGTTTGACATTTTTCATATGCAAAGGAAAAGGTGTTATATTTTATTAATATTATTGCTAGTACTGTCTCTGACTGCCTCCCCTGGACTCGACTTCGGCCAGCAACTATACTCAAAGTTGCTGATGGAGCAAACTCCAAAATGCCCTTGAGACCAACGCCCATTGGTTGTTTCCATTCACCTGCTGAAGTGAAGCCAGAGGGCTATCCTCTCGCTAAGACCTCTGGCAGCACTCGAGTCAGTAATTCATTCCAATAAAATGGTCCCTTTATCATCCCTAAACAAAGGCAGTACTAACAAAAAGCCCCTTTCATGAAAAGAAGGGGAAAAAAAAGCCTGGAAAACAGTTTTCAAATGTCCTCTAACTTGTGACTGTGACACAAAGCAGTGGCCCCATCTAGCCCTGGCCAGCTGTGGCTCTTCTGGGACAAGTGCACCAGCTATTCAGAGTGGCGTCTGCTGCAGGGGAGGGGGCAGAAGACCAGCAGGCCACAAGCCCTCGAGACAGTCATGCCCATGCCACCAACATCAGGGGAATAAGCCCCTTAACTCACAAGTCTTACAACTGCAAAGAAGAATAGCTGTGCTGTCTTCATCCTTCTGCCTCTGGAAATACAATGTATAAATTGCCCCAGGTAAGCCACAACTTGCTCGTGGAAATGAGTTAAGATGTTTTTACTTGGAACTCTGACTCATGACCCAGCACCCTCCCACTGCTGCAGGACCCCTTTGCTAGAAACTGCCCCTGTCCTGCTTGCTGTCTCTATAATCAGCTCTTTCTTTGCTCCCAAGATTTCAGGCTCTGGAGTGAGTGTCTGGATTCGAATCCTGCCTCGGCCTCAGCTGTACGACCATAGCAAGCGACTTAACCTCTCTAAGCCTCAGTTTCTTTATCTGTAAATGGGAATAATAATAATGCCTACCAATGGCATTTTTTGTGGAGATTGAATGATTTAAGGGACTGTGCCTGGCAGAGAGTAAGTACTCAGTAACATTCTGCTGTCATTAGTTTTATCCCCAACTGTGATGGAGACTGTTAGCCTTCCCTAATATGCATTCTCTCCTTCCGTGGTCATGGAATTTTCAGTGGACACCTGCAAACATAGAATAAAATGTGTATAAAATAAAATATTTCCCAACCGTACTTGAAGCTAGATGTGGCCAAGTGACTAAATTCTAGCCGAAATAGTGGAACAAGGAACGTGCAGTTTCTCGATCAGGCCCTTAAGGAGATGGGCATGCCCTTCCCTTCCCCAAGCCTGCTGGTTAAACTGCAGATATAGAAACGAGTGCAATGAAGACTGTACAGACCAGGACGACAAACCCGGCGTGGCCTAGCAAAAGGGCAGAAGAAGCCTGGGCCCTGCAACTTCAAGGAGCAGGGCTACATAAAGAAGGAAAAACATCTGTCTTGTCTAAGCCTCTGTGGATAGAGGGCTCTGACGCATGCAGACCTAAAGACCTACTGAGTCAAAATCTGTACGTTAACAAGATGATATCCAGGTGATTTACAGGCGTGTAAAAATTTGAGAAGCGTTATCCGAAATAACACACCTATTGAGAACAAGTCAGCTGGCCATCATCAGGGGCTGGGAAGAGGATAGCGCCGGTGACCAATGTTTCTACCACCGTTGGATTCTGCCTCTCCTATCAGCCTCTTGCTGGACCCTAGTTGGGGAGGAGTTGAGGTTTTGCTGGTGCTTCTGGTTTATACCAACTTCCATGCCCCCCAGTCGCTCTTGCTGGCAACCATACCATTTGTTCACCATAGCAACCACAGGAAAGAAGGGTGACAGTCTACTGCTTATGATTATAATTAATTATATATCATTCTCCGAGGGGTCTGAGGTTTTGAAGGCCCTACAGCTACTCTAATGACACAGGCACTCGTGCTCAGCCCATGGACACCCTTCACAAGCTCAGGTAGCTAATCAAACCCGTTGCATTTCTTAACCTTCAGGCTGGGTCTGGGTTAGCTGCTTGAAGCTCACTCAACCATGGGATAACCTGCTCAGAGCCCTTTCGGAATGTCCCTGGGGAACTGCCAAGTAGCCCACCCTGAAAATTGGCTAGAGTAGTTTCAGGGGAAGACCTGCCCAAAGGAATCACCCAGGTGTTAAGCCAAACTGTGTAGATACTGTAAAGAAAGATATTTTTCACTTTGCCACTGGAAAACTATAAATAGTAGCCACATAATTCAGCACTTTGAAATGAAATACTGCCTGAATAGAAATCTCCTTAAGACATATCTCGAAGGGTTTAACTCAGATCTTTCCTGCAACTTGGGCCTGCTGACTCTTTATCTGGCTTTGGTTGTGGTGGAAACAACTGGTCACCAGCCAGATGATAACCCTCCGTCTTCTTGAAGATGGTGATGAAATCACTCATC